TACAGTAGAAGTTCCGTGAACGATCGAGGCAGTAGGGGTTTTTTTCCAACTTTATTCTACCGCATTTTCATTTTCGTCGCGTAATAGTCTCAGTTTCACGAACTGGTGTGTACCGTCCGTATTATTTTTTTTTTACTCATCGTGTGAATTTCGGAAGTCGGCGGAAAAGACAAAAGAAAGATTGTTGTTAACTGCAGGACCACAGACCAGGAAAAGTGAAGGACATTGATTGTGATGAAGGCAAAGCGCGTTTTTGACAGCCCACTTGCTTCGGACCGTTTTTGTTGGTGGCATCGGCTGCATATTATTTTGTTCGTGTCCTCTTGCCCGAATAGTCATCTTTGTAACGCTGGGGCATTTTCGTGTGTAAAACAACAAAAAGAAAACGTGGGAATACAATTCTCTTGAAGCGAATACAATCGCCTTTGTGATATTTCTGGTGCTGGATGTGGGGCCAAGTGTGATATATATTTATGGGAAATTGTAAAACTCTCTGCTGGGAGTGGAATATCCTTCCTATACTGCATATACAGAGGATATTCCACTTCCTGTATATATACACTACATACTGTATATTGTGGATTATTTTCTTTAAAGAGTATCACACAGCAAATAAACAATTCTTGGAAGACTGGACAAAGCCAGCTATTGAAAACATTTTTGAAAATACATGCTTCTAAGTGCATTGTCCTAATTGTGATATGACAACTTTTAATAAGAATGTGCAAACATGTCTGAGAATGTTTTTTTTTTTTTTGCGCTGATTTTTTACATTCTGAGGTTCCAGGGAAATATTCCAATTTCTGACGGATGCACTGTTGAATAACCTCAAAAGCTCAAATCTCCCTTTGTCAATTTCTTTTTCAAACTCCTCTTTTGATTCTCTTAACAAGTTGAAAGACCTTCTTAACTTGAATGCTTACCCGTTCAATCCTCCATGGCTCAGTTTTTCTGAAGGTCTTTTTCTAGAAAAACAGTTACAAATGTAAGTAGATGTGTTTTGAATGGAAGTGGAAGTTGGGCAAATGAACCATTGTCTCACTCAAGTTCAACATTCTGTGACCTCATTTTGAGAAGCAGTTTGAGCCCCAAAGTATCACCAAGCAAATTTTCCTGTAATTCTTACTTTCTACTACAAAACTGCTTGTTTCCCAAACTGGGAACCTCCCTAATCCCAAATTTGTTTGCTGGCCCTTATTGCAGTTCAACTAAATTTCGTTGTTCAAATTTGATTATTATCTCAAGTGCAGCTGGAGTAAATACTGTACACTAATTATGGAATTATGCCGAGTGTATAGGTCCTATAAATGTGTCTTGTTACCAAATGAAGAACAGCTGTGGAAAGGATATTCATAGGATTTTGTGTGCTTCCCCTATTACTGTGCTAACATCAAGGTGTGTATTGGATAAAAACATGCCGAAAGATTTTCTTCTGTACTCTGTTTCATGCTTGTTCACCCCGCCCGGATATGTTCCCACATTGACAATATTCATGCTTTACTTATCAGCATTATTGCTGCTGTCAATAAGTCGCAGCAGTTGTCCTGAAAGCTAAAACGATCCTCGTGTTCACAGCTGAAGTATTGAAGTACAGCAGCAAATGTCATTCAGAGTATTGCAACTTTGACGTAGACAGGCAGCAGTACACACCTAGTATCCTATGGATGAACAAGATTTGATGGGATCTCTTTAATTATCACTCCGCCTGATTTATTTATGAGTCGTATATTTTTGCTCCAAGTTTTTCTGTACAGTATATGATGTAAAAAGCTGCTGGATCCAACAGCCACTTTATATATATATACTGTACAACCTTGAACCCGCAGCTGCTGAAACCACAGTACAGTAAACCTTTTTATACTGTGGGTTTAACTTATTATTTTGATTGGTTGACATAAAGAAATATATGCGCTGTTGTTGCACCATGATGTGCACACAGCAGACTATTACACGAATAATACAGTACANAACCACAGTACAGTAAACCTTTTTATACTGTGGGTTTAACTTATTATTTTGATTGGTTGACATAAAGAAATATATGCGCTGTTGTTGCACCATGATGTGCACACAGCAGACTATTACACGAATAATACAGTACATATGTGCATTGTGCTGCTGTATATACAGTATATATATACAGTAGTAAATTTCGTTCATATATATGCCTTAATTTTCTTTCTCCTTGACCTTGTGCAACAATTTGGATAAAAAGTCTTTCGATCATATGAGGTTTGGAGCACTTTTAAAAATGTATCTGACTGTGAGGCACTGTTCATAAGAGAGTAATTTGTTTCAAATACTGTACATGACGATCTCTCTCATGCTTCAACCCGGGTTGCTTCATTATCTGTTCTCGGTGAAGCTCGAGCGACATCTATATATTGTTTTCAAAACAGAACTCTGATAACATAATGCCTAGGTGTCGCTAATGCACAGATTTTCGTTGTTGCTGTCACGTCACGTTCAGTAAATCGTGACAAATACGACCATACTTTGTACAGGTTTGAAATTTTCTCACAAAATTTACTGGAACATCCGTCAGATTTTACGCCGGAATCACGTACGTATTCGACTGTAAGCTGTTTATAAAACCCGTTATCGTGAATCCTTCACTCACTACTGTACAGCAGAGTCGACTTTTTCAGAAAAGGAAGCACGTTATCCATACACAGAAGCCATCAGTGAACGTGTAGATAATTAGAGGAATGGAGGCCAACAGTACGACTGCTGTAATGCATTTCAATGCATCCGGATTTTCCATCAGGATACACTCAACTGTCTACTATTATTTTATTTTCAAGTCTCAATTGTGCTCAAGGGAACAAATTGTGGCATCTGGTATTTTGTGCTATTTGATTTTTAAAGCTTTTGATTTTCACCTCGCACTGCACCATTCTTTGGACTGCAGCAGGAATTCGATCCATACAACTCAAGCATCACTTATATAGGCAAGATTATTTCAACAATTATTTCCCGCGCTTCCAGCATATACTGTATATAACAGTGATGGATGTGAACGCGGAGAATCTGCTGACAAGAACAGATACAGCACAACTTTTCCCTTCCAATAGCCGGTAATTCCGATACTCTGTAGTTGCAATTAACAGCATTGCCACATAATACC